CGCATGCACTGCCTGCAAGAATTATAATCTGGACCAGTCAAACCAGTGGTCGATCTCATGAGCACTAATCTGTCTCCCAGCTAGACCACCCAATCCATAAAGTTGTTTCTTACAACCATTTCTTGCCACAAGTTCTATCCTAGAACCCGGAAAACTGTTAGGAAAGATCAGTAGTATCAAAACTATGTGTTACCGAATGTTCTAGGAGTGTTCAAGCGAAGTCATTATTGAATGTTAATATCAACCGATCTATGTCATTGTTACTGAAGCCAAGCATAAGTTACAGATGACCTAACCTGGGTCTCATGTTGTTGATCACTGGATCGTCTGGTCCAAACTAGATTATATACAGACAAACCGCCATGTAGCTGGAATATTGCTGAGTGCAGCATAAAACAACAAACCAACCAACCTAACCTGGGTCAACAGAGGGGAACTGCAGGAACAGAGGCTCGAAATGATGGCCATATTTAGACTTTTCCCATATTTAGACAGTATCCATTTCCCCTGTAGTCCATTATTTTATGCTCATTGATCAAACATTTGGAAAGGACAAGTACCCTCCATATTGGTCCCCGGAGATGACATTAAAGATTATTTTCAGATAATTTTATTACCACATGCAGCTTTGCATTTGTGAACTGTGATCTGTTTTGGTAAATACAAATAACAATGAAAAAATGGCTGCAGTAAACAATGATCTTGTTTGAATGTGTGCTCATCAAATACCTGCCAAAGTAAATATGTAAAATATTATCACATGCATCGAGGACAGTCTAGACAGTTTGTGTATTTTATATGCATAGCCAAAATTGCTGATTGGGAATATCAATACCAAGCTTTCAAACAAATGTTTCAATTTCAATAAACATCATGGTGGGAGATGCATTTGCTGAATACACTATAATGAACCCAAACTGGCAAGAATCAGATCGGAGCTATTTAGGTTGGGGCAATCTCCGGTTCATCAAACATGTGCACCATTCAAAGTCACCCGTGCATAAAAAGCATCAAAGAGAAAGTGTCACTGCAGCTTACCTAAGTGAACATTTCATGGGAGAAAATCGGAATTTTGGAACTACCATTTTTGTCTTCTTACTCAACAGTAAAGTCTACTCACAGGACCAGAGATGTTGTGTGGCATTATATATATGACAAATCAGGTCAGACCTGTATCATAATTGTGTCGTATGTACTTTCCATAATCTCCACTAAATGTCTACAAGCCCTGTCACTGCGACCTCCGCCTCCTCCCACACTTAACTGATAAGACAAATCAGTATTACACTGATAAGTCATTATTCCAACCTGTCCTCAGCAGTAAGCCCACACTTAAGCCCATTAACAGTTCAACTTATAACATTGTTTATCTTGCCAGCTAGTATTTTTGTGAAACATTTTTTGTGGGAAAATGAAACAGTAAGCCTCATAAAGAAACATCTGAATTTCTCAAAATGATTTCCTAATTCTAACCAGAGGCCCAAATAAGCTGCGTATCCGGGTAAAATATGCATAGAAAATTTCCAACTACGCATTGAAAAATAATTCTTGAGTACCAATTACGCATTTAAAATGTTAGATACGCAAAAAGTTTAAAACAAATGCGTAAGGAATATATTTATAAAAATCGCTTGCGTAATGAAAAAGACATCGATTGCTATCAAGTTGTACTGTTAGTATAGGACAAGTGTTGTACTGTCAGTATAGGATGAGTGATTTTTTATGAAATCATTTCCATTATATTTAAGTTGGTTTTGATTAGGTATGACATAAGGCAGAACATACCTGCTTAGTAAACTTACTCAATGACATAAAACTTAGGTGAGTAAAATGACTGAAATACCCACATATTTGAAAGCAGTGGGTAACGGAAAATGAAATACCCACTCAACATTCATAATACCCACTTCAAAAAATACATTGGGTACAGTACCCACATGAGCTAAATCTTATCTGAAGCTCTGTCTAACAGTCCTTTGGAACTAAATATTTATATCCATTCCCTCTAAGTGTTAAAAAGCACATTGTTTATTAAAAAATTGATACATGTACATATTTCATGGTCTTTTCAGACATGCTAGTTTTTTCAAGTGACTTGATGTAAATGTTACGGTCTACTGTCCAGGATAATTTGTCCAGGCAGATGATGCCGACCACACTGAATGTTGAGTTGTAACTGTCACTGATGGGTGGTGCCCCTGTCTGACAACATGTCCCTCCCAGACACCTAAAGCTGACCACAATCACAGGTTAAACAAGTGAATACATGTATGGGGAAGAGGCAGTTGATCCCTGTGACAAATCATGTTTACAAGTACCTTATGTTAACTTTCCAATTTTGTCCTACTGTGAAACATATTCTGTTTTATGGGAGTGCCTCAAATATTCCCAAAAGCAATTAACTATATACATTAATCAATGTATTAGAATTCATTTCTTTTATTATTAGAAGTTAATGTTCTACAATATTGTACAACTGGATTAAACGTACGGACTAGGTATTCATTATGATAAATACACCCAAGTGAGATGATTTCTATATATTGAACAAATATCTGATATAGTTTTGGTTTTAATCAGAATTTTTCTATTGATCATATTTGTGTAATGTGTAGAGCAAATGTTCAGTAAAACCTGGTCCATTTTCCTTCATGGGTACACTGAGTGACAAAACTGGTCATCCTTCATGATCATAGGAAAAAAGTCCGTGGAAAAAGTCCTTGGTCAAAAAGTCTCACCTCCCTTGAACAAACACCTACATTAAATGATGCCAAAGGACAAAACACCTGTCTTAAATAAATACCATTTCAGAATTGTAACTTTCCACAGACATAATGCGAACATGCCAAAGGTTAAGTTTTAAGAACATATTTTCAACACTTCCATTACTAAGTTTTAAGGACATATTTTCAACACTTCCATTACTAAGTTTTAAGGACATATTTTCAAAACTTCCATTACTAAGTTTTAAGGACATATTTTCAACAGTTCCATTACTAAGTTTTAAGGACATATTTTCAAAAGTTCCTTTACTAAGTTTTAAGGACATATTTTCAACAGTTCTATTACTATTTTCAACAGTTTTAAGTTTTAAGGACATATTTTCAAAAGTTCCATTACTAAGTTTTAAGGACATATTTTCAACACTTCCATTACTAAGTTTTAAGGACATATTTTCAACAGTTCCATTACTAAGTTTTAAGGACATATTTTCAACACTTCCATTACTAAGTTTTAAGGACATATTTTCAACACTTCCATTACCAAGTTTTTCAAGGGGGAGGAGAACATGGCTGAAAGATAGTCAATGTTTGATTTACAAATTATAAAACACTGAGAGGAGAAATCTGAATCAAAACAAAATTCTTGACACAAATCCCACCCTGAGAAATGTAAATACCTGTCTTGAATATACTTGGTTCCACAAATCACAGAAAGTGATGAACATTATATATAACACCATATATAAATGCTGGCTTTCATAAGGAACCATTGAAAACCAAACAGCAGATGATGGAAGCCTCTATGTGATACTACTGATTAGGGTATGATTGCCAGGTATATATGAACACCTCACCAATAATCGACACTTGCCACAATCATGGACACTGTTGATGCCTTTGTGTACAACACACAGTATACCATGTCAATGTACATCAAAGAATCTGATGAGAAAATAGTGAGTTCACCTTGATTATGGTATGGGGCTGTAGCAGAAGTAGTACAATGTGTCACAAGCTGAAAATAGACTATTGACTGGCACACATATTCACTAATCAGCAGGTCGCTGACCACCAATGAGTGAGTGAGTGAGTTAGTGAGTGACTTAGTGAAAGCCTGACATTATCACACATGTATGAAACAACCTACAATTCTAGTCAAGACCAAACAAGCCAATGTTTGAAAGCATCCTTGTCAGCCTATGCAGACAATATCCAGGTCACAAACCTAGGTTCTACTTCATACTAATTCATATGTTAACTCTGTGTTTTGACATTACATTCCATTAATGGCAAAACAAAAATAAAATGTGTATATTATTTGCCAATATATTTTAAGGACATACACACAAAAAAGGAATTAATTTTTTCAGACACAAAATTTACTGAAATAAATTCAAAAATATGTTGAGTTACTTATCAATAGTAAAATATTTAATCTATGTAAGACAAAACTGTCAAAGGCATGTTTGTTCCAGTGGTGCTGTCAGGGTAACAGTGGGTATAAACTGGTAGCACCATCAACACATCTACATGGCATGCAAGCTCGGTGGATGATAATAAGTCATTACGTTGATGAGGAGAACTCTTTACTAATCCCCTTGTCTTATCTACAGCTAAGTAGATAGACTCCACGACTACAGCTGGGCTGTGTATAAGAAGGCCAGATTTGGTAATTGGATTCAGGGCCAAAATCACGACCAACAAATTGCGATTGAGCTGCCTGATTATGTGGAGCTAAGTCAGCCGACGACAGGCAGAGGAAAGGTAGTTGGTAAAAATATCAATAATTGGACCTAGTACTTGGACCGGTCAATACACGACGCAGGCGCTACGTGAACGTCAGTTTTTTGACGGTTTTACCAAGGCAATGCAGTACCTAGGCGATACGTTGCCAGGAACGACAGGCAGGTCTGTGACGCAAATGCCATTGGCAACTCATCAAGTTCGAACTAACCGAAGCCTCCGGTCGCACTTCTAAAACACATCCCAAATGTACGATAATAGTTATTCACACAAACCCGAATACATATCCCATGATAAAAGTCTGGTCGGCCTTTCTCGCCGAGCGTGTAATACTGTCTGGTAATGCTGACATAAGTGGTAAAGTTACGTACATGGTCCTAAGTTTGCCGGAGGCCCAGTACAGCACACGGGCGTAACACTTGATTGACATTTGACATAACCAGCCTTCCGACCGCTACAACAGTTACCGTTAAGGTCATATTTCAACAGTATCATAAGCTAGGGTGTATATGTACATATAACATGTTGACTTACCCTCACGGGTCGCGATGACTTTTTCTTCGTCTGTAAAATGTCGTGTTCACTACATTAGTCCGAGTGAGACAGACTGATGAAACGGTCTTTGACGGCTGGAGAGCTTGTCAGAATCCTGCTGTATACAAGGAAGGAATTGTCCTTCGGCGATTCCAGTGTTTCTTACAGGGAGTAAGATATTCTGAAACAGAGACAGCCAGTCATTTAGCACAAGTTTGATAACGATGTATAACATGACAAGCCTTACAGCGACGTCAAAATATCCAGTACGCGATAAGACGGAAATGGTCATATTTCACTTTCTTCCGTCTAAGTGACATGTTTCTTTCAAATCGGAGTTCACTATTGAATAAACAGTGCTCCAGATACACTACAAGTCTCACCAGACTAAATCCATGAATTGAACCAAAATAACTCTAACGTTTCTATTTTTACTATCCAGTGAGGAGTTATAGGTGAAAATCTGAAGCTCGTTCTATTTTAGGAAAAGGAAAACACACCAGTCCTGTATTTATAGTGGGACGATATGAAAATATCAGTCCGCTTGTATAGCCACTTGGTATATATTCACCAGATTAAGGTGGTATAAACTAACGTACTAATGGCCTTATGTAATCCTCGCCGCCACTATATCCAGCCACGGAACGATCAAGACTGAAATAACCTTCCAACCTAAATCTGACCTCTTTTCTTGCGCGGAAGAAGTCGATTGCTGGTTACTATGCGCGGCGGTTCATTTGCGTCATCACTGACCCAGATATATTCTTGATGATTGAAAATACTCTTCCCAACATGGCAGATAGGAATACATCGACTGCGGCAGCTCTCTGTAGTATATTTATTTCAGCGCCTTGCTCCGTTCCTTCTTCGAGAGACTTAGAATTGAAAATTAAATATTCCAGAACTCACGCGCCAGTAGGAATTCCATGTTATTGACGTCATATGGAAACACCAATGAGAATCGTGGAAATGCTCACGTGAAACTACAGCAGACAGTCGAACATAAACCTCTCCTCGATTCACCTGACCACTGATTTACAGTCGTTTTATTATTGTCACTTTCGTTTTCTGAATTATTGGCCCTGAGTTAATGCCGATAGCACGCACGTGTAATAAGATAATGCCATCACGCCGTTGTCCAACTGATTTTACACATGGAATTTATCGGCCACGTGCGTGACGGGTTATAACCCCGCCTCCCGATTGCTTATATGGGTATATTCCGTCATTACGCTACTTTTTTAACGCGTGCATATTTCCACGCTTTAGGAAGAGGCTGAGTTTACACATTCTTCTTAAAATACAGTTTGACGTACGTGTTATGCTCATGAAAGAAGTATCAAGAATCCTGGTTTATAAACTATGACGGTGTCATGATCCTGTTTGAGAAAATAGCCTGTGACAGTTGGGTAATTCCCAGTCCCACGAGCAACTTACAGGTAGAGTCTGCGCAGGGCAGGGTATATAGCAGTACGCCAGTTATTTAACTTCTATCCACTCTTAATACTTTTTGGGTTTGTTTAATGTTTGAATATTTGATATAGTGAATAGGCAAACTGTCAATTTGTTAATGAAAACAACGTATGTATGTATGTATGTATGTTGAGTTGAGTTGAGTTGAGTTGAGTTGGGTTTGCGTCACATCGGCATTATTCCAGCCATATAGTGACGAGAACAAGTTTGCATTAATAAACATTTTAAGTACATACTCGGAATGAGTTTTATTTCAAAAACATATATTCATTACATTGTCATTTAAAAGCAGAAAAAGTCATAGCACCAAATTTAAAGGTAGGCAATTTGTTAGTCACATTTCACAGTTACAATTTAAGATGTATGTATGTATGTATGTATGTATGTATGTATGTATGTATGTATGTATGTATGTATGTATGTATGTATGTATGTATGTATGTATGTATGGATGGATGGATGTATGTATGTGCGTACGTACGTGTGTACGGTTTGTGCGCGCTTGTGTGTGTGTGTACGTACGTACGTATTTCTTTTTAGTTTTACACTTAGTGTAACCCTTTCCCTTCATGTGAGAAAATATCGTTTTGATAATCTCTTAGTTTTAAAAATGATGAACAATTTCCTAACATGTGAATTGATCTAACCTTCTTGTTAGTTTAAATATACCTTATCTAAAATATCATCTGTCAATTTGAAGAGAAAACCACTTTTGATCGTGCGTTATCCGTTATATATATACTTGTAGATATGAGAAATAGATATCTTACAGAGATATCATTATAGTTGCATATGAAGTTCCATTATGTCAAATCTAGCCCGTTATCTTATGTTCCAGTTTCGATTGTTTGCGTTTTATGTATTATTCAAAATCCCAGCATGAGGGAGCTTCTCAAAGCCACCCCGTCCATTTAGAGGTAGATCCAGTCACAGTTGAGGTGAGGTGAGTTGAGGTGAGGTGAAATTGGGTTTTACGTCGTGCTTGAGAATATTTCGCTCATATGACGACGTGCATGCGTGTGTATGTGTATGTGCGGCTGCTTGTACTACCCCAGACTTCGGCTGGTTTTATAGTGCTAGCCCACTGAGATACCATGCCGCAGTGAAGCATGAATACCCCACTCAGACACATTATACTGACTCCGAGCTGACCAGTCCTTGTTGTACCCATTAATGCCGAGCGCCAGGTAGGGCCCAACAAGTACCATATTTTAAGGTTTTTTGGTGTGACGCGGTCTCCGGTCGGACGCTCTAACCACTACACCACGGAGGCGGTCCAGACACAGGAGAACGTATACATGTGGGGATTATGATCACCATCTGGACTGTATTGTATAAGGAGTCGTTCCATAAATCATAACTCAACTGCATGCCGTATTGTATACTCTGAAATATTAATGCGAGTACTGAGGAAACGTTTTTGAACTATTCACCATGAAGTTCTTCAAGATACGATGCGGTCTGTGTGCCCAGCAACCCTGAGATTTGGTCTCCGGAATCAGATGCAGCAAGATACCCACAATGTATGTATCCCAGATATCAACTTATTGTTACCCCTTTAACAGGCTGCAGATCTCTCAGACATCTCGTGTTTTCACATTTCTAACTAAATGGAACTGTCTGGTCCTAAAAACGAAAACATGTATAATTTCTCATGTATACAGATATATTTCCAAGGTTGACATACTTGCCGCTGCGTGTGCCAAGTTCGTCAAGAGGTAGGCAACCAAAGCACCTGTGAGTGAGTGAAGGATTGACTCCGTTATGAACAATATTTTAGTAATATCATGGAGTGTCTATTGAAGATTGTGAAGGAAAGCCACATAGCAAGTCCTAGACGGTTGAAACACACCGACTGGTTCTCTGACAAACCAGGAGAAGTGTGAGTGCCATAGCATCCCAACAGCATGGGCAGTTGTTCGCAATATCAATCACTGTCTTGCTGGTTTCAGGCTCGATCATTTGGACACCACCGCAGAGCATAGCGAGGGTGAAACTGCGGGGAAGACGTGCCGGAGAGAAGGTCCTCCTGGGTCCTCAAATGGCCACTTCGCAATCATCAGGACTATGCCTCTCGTCACACGTTCACAACGCCATCTCACTTTCAACCATTTACAACTGAAATACACCCAGACCCCCAGGGATCGTTCCAGTAATCGATATTTGTGCAATGATTATCGTGCATTCTTATGTAGAGATCGAAAAGTTGGAATAGATATGTGATGTTACCCCTGGCCGATCTTAGTGCTGAGCGTTAATCCTCCAATACTGCACTTTACACAGCAAGTTGTGTGAGTGAGTGAGTGCGTGTCTGTCCCTGTTGTGTGTTTGTTTGTGTATGTGATATGTGTGTGCTTGTCTTGTGCGTGTGTGCCTGTCGTGTGAATGTGTCGTGGGTCTTATGTATATGTCTTGTGGGGGTGTCTCTTATGTGCATGTGTGGTGTAGGGGGTGGGGGAATTCGGGTTTATGTTAGTGTGACATAGGTGTGTTCTTTAATGGCTTGTGTGTGGTCTTTGTGTGTGGTATTTGTGTGTGTGTGTGTGTGTGTGTGTCTTGAGTGTGTTGTGTACATGTTTGTGTGTTCTTTTGTGTCGTGTGGATGTTTGCATTTGTTTGGTGTGTGTGTGCGTGCGTTTGCGTGTGTTTTTTTGGGGTTTTTTTTTGGTTGGTTGGTTGGTTGTTGTTGTTTGGGGTTTTTTTGGGGGGGGGGAGCAGGAGAGAACACGGCCGAGAGCAGCCGCAATAGATCTGACGCACTACACCCTGGAGGCGGTTCGATGGGACGATGTATTTAAATCGGTTATTATAGATGATTTCTCATGCATAGTTTCGGCGACTGTTTTCAGCCAAGTTATGTAGCTTTCAGTTAAATCAAATTTCGAGTGTTTACTTTCACGGCAGTTACTAACGCAATAAAACATTGTGCCGTGAAGTAGACAAAACACTATCCACCCAGAGTGAGTGACTGAGTTTGGTTTTACGCCGCTTTTAGCAATATTCCAGCTACATCACGGCTGGGGACACCAGAAATGGGCTTCACACATTGTACCCATGTGGGGATTCGAACCCGGGTCTTTGGCGTGACGAGCCAACGCTTTAACCACTAGACTACCCGCCGCCCCCACTCCGGGCAGAAGCACCACTGGTTCATTGTGATTTTCTAGAGTGCATGTATACAACGTTCCATTGACATTGTTAGTTGTTATAGTTCAGGATTAAAACCAATACTCATATCCAGTCTTTAAGTTTCATAAAGGGCCCTTACTGCCCAGATCGAGAATGCAAACAGCAAAACTCAAGCATAGTGGCGTTTTTACACACATCAGCTGCAGCTGCATGGTCTACCCAAATGTCGTAAATCAGTTCAAGTTATACAACACCAGTGATCTTAGTCCTACTTTACAAACTACTAACATGATATTTGTTTCCTAAACCAACTCTGTGATAAGCCGTATTAACATGTATAACGAAATAACTGATATCTTCAATTATTTTAAAGATATCTTAAAAATAAATTAGAATTATCCTAATTTGAATTGAAATTATCTTGAGATGGATTATATATACCGAAAATACAGACAAGTATACATATTATATATACACATATACATGTAAACATACATGATTATGTCCACAATGACGGTAATTGTTTAAGAAGATATCTTAAACTCTTTAAGAGATATCGCGAAATAGGTTGCCCCCAAGTTGAATTGTGTCTGTGTTGGTCCTTGTTGGTTGAATTGTGTCTGTGCTGGTGCTTGCTGGTTGAATTGCGTTGAATTGTGTAATTGCGTCCCGTGCTGGTTGGTTGAATTGTTGTGTTGGTGCTTGTTGGTTGAATTGGTCTGCGTTGGTTTGTCGGTTGAATTGCGTCTGTGT